TTCTTATTAGTAACCACACTTTTTCTTTTGCTGCTCAGTACAATTTCCTTTCTAGCCATCTGCTCCTTTCAGCTGCCACTCATCCTCCTGGCTGATTCCAGCCTAGTCTCACTCTGCTGTCACCCCACCATATGATAGCAGCTTGTTGTTTCAAGACATGATATATCCTGAGAGCAACAAACCACATGTGCCTATGAAGATGAGCTGTAAAATTTCTGTGTGGCAACTCTCCCTTACTTGTGTCCATGCATGAGATCCATCTCCTATTCTTCCTTACCTCCAAGAGCACCTGAAACTGCTGCTCATTGCAGTGTGTTCACAGACTTAAAACTGTCTCAGCTGTCTCATTTCATTTCCTGTATTACAGTAAGTACTTACACCATCAAAGCCCTGGCTCTTCACTCCGAGACCAGGGTTTCCCAGCTCTGGCACTGGAGATGTTTAAGGCTGGATAATTCCCTGTGGTGGGATTGTCCTGTACATTTTAGGACGTTTACCAGCATCCCTGGGCTCTACCATTATATGCCAGGACCACCTCTTCCCATCGTTACAATAACCCAAACTCTTTCTGGACATTGAAAGTTGTCCCTTTGAGAAGTAAATCTGCCATGGTTGAGTCCAGGGTAACCAGGACAGTCTTTTGAGGGATGAATCATCAGTCAACCAAGCGAGACCACAGGATACCTGAAGGATGTTGGCATGTCAGGGACAGAGCCCCTTTAGAAAGCAAGTCACAGAAAGGACCATTGTCCAGGTAATGACCGTGGTGCTCCCTGTTTGGTAGAGAAATCTAGAAAACAGACATGCATTCCGCTGGCGAGGCCTTTCCTCTTTGTGTTCCCAAGACTCAGCTCAGCAGGAAAAGTTCTTTGCTGAACATGGACTTGTCTGGCTGTGACTGAATCATGTCTAAGATACTTTGGGAAGGGGAACCCAGTGTTTGACACTTCTGCAAGGAAATCTCCACTCAGTGAATTCATTTTGTTTGCAGCACCATGGTACCAGGGCATTGGAGACCAGGGTGGGGCGTTATAAGCTAATTCAAAGGGAGGAGCTGAAATTGCTTTTATGAATATAATAATGATCTATGCTGTGAGTCTCCTTACCTTACATCCCAAAGTCTTTTGTTCTTTTGACTTTCTGATTTTTATCCCTAAGTTATGTTTTTCTCTCCATATAAGACATACATGGCTTCCACTATTCTATCTTCTAATGGGGGTGGAGGGGGAGATGGTGGTGGCAATTTAACCAATGCACAATGTAAACCTACTCAGAATTGTCACAGTGGATCCCCCTGTACAAGTATATCCTAATCAAAACAATCAAAAAATAAAAATCAAGAGGGCTAGAAATTTTGTAGGCCTTTTTTGTTAAAATGTAACAGATTAAAATGAAGATGTTGCACAAAATTACAGAACACTTACTTAACTTCAAACTTGAGGAATGACACTATGAGGAAGAAAGATATTTTTACTGCAAACTTCCCTCCAGCTGGAACAAGATAAACTCCAGCAAAAAGCTCTTTTAAACTACAAATGCCTTTCTCCTCTGTGTTTGCTTTCTTTTTATCTACTCTTCTGGACTTTTAAACTTCATTCGGGGGAATGAAGATATGTAAATACACATGTGCAGAAAAGTATGTGTGTGCACTTGTGGGTGCATTTAACATCTTGGTGATAAAGCAGATAATATCGTCAAAAATACTTTACTGACAGCACCTCTGTTGGTTCCCTGAAAATACTTAGTTTCCTTAGCTGTACTTTGTTGCAGAAATTTCTCTCTCCTGTCTCCATAAAATTTTCCATATATTATTTTCACATTTGAAACTGTCAGTGTTTTGTTATATGTCCTGAAGATATGGTCAAGAACAAACATGCTTTGTATAATGCTTAAAAATTTAGTCCTGCATTCTAAAGAACTAAATAGCTGTGTGGTCAGCATTTTGAGTGTGTTAAAAATTTAACCACAAGCTAGATTTGGTGGTTCATGCCTACAGTTCCAGCACTGGTGGGGCTGAGGCAGGAAGATGTTGAGGCCACCTTGGCTGCATAGTAAGAACTTGTCCCAAAAAATAAAAATAAAGGATTTAGCCACTGGTCGCCTTCACTCAATGTACCAGTTTTATAGAAATGTTAGGATAGAAATTTAAATATGTTTATGAATATTGATGATGTTATTTCCATTTTTAAAAAATATACAGGGGGGTTCACAGTGATATTTCCATATATATTATACCCTGGTTTGGTTCTTTCCCTCCATTATTGTATTTCCATTTTGGTGAAAGAGTTGCTTATCCCACAATTTCTCACAGATCCTCTCCTAAAAAGTTAGCATTAAAAATGTTCATGTGCAAAATGGCTTCATCTACTTCCATCTGATCCTACCCTCACCATTACACTATTGTTCTGCCAATGTTAATTAGCTGAGCAAAATAGAGTCAAGTGTGTTAGCATGGCCCTTAAAGAATACTTCCATTCATTTTCATAAGGGAAACCCTATTTTTAATGAATAATTTGTAATATAGCCCTATTAACTCAGTAAAACTTTGAATAAAGTACCCAGGAAATGGTCAGATACATTGACTGCCTGTGAAAAAGTTCTTTTGCTTCAGTATTAACATGCCAGGGTACCATCAACATTCTGAAAGAACACAGAATCCCCTTTGAACTCCATCACTTGTTGCCATCAAAGATTATCTATATTCACACAGGTGCCCTTTTATTTCCTTCAGATTCTCTCTGTAGCCATTTAAAAATGATTGTAATAAAAGGTATTTAAGAATTACATAGACACATGTCAGAGCAGAAGAAAATTATCTATGGGTTTAACCATTTATCTTGCTTTATAGTGTAGAAGTTAAAAAGGAAAGGAAAGTGAAACTCAAAAAAAGATAATGTAGGTCCTTTCCCGCCTTTCATTTGAGCTGTCACTTCTCGTAATGAGCATGAGAACGCTACTTCTAAATACTTGTTGTGTCAGTTCTTACAGGAGAGGAAAATCTCATCCATGTTAAGTTGAAATTTCACATTCTGATTTTTCTTGGTAATATTAGATATTATATGAAAATAATAGCTTAAAATGTTCAAGGAGATGACAAAGTAGAAAATGAAACCAACAAACAAAACAATGAAATATCCACTGTCCCAAGCTGGTTTCCTTTAGATCCAGGACTAGTACCACCTCTTCATCAAAGTTGACAAAGCTACAGAATAGCTGTTGTCTTTCCATAGTGCTACCTTTCTGTTCAGTGCAACAAGCCATTCTCAAATAATAATGAGCCAGGAGTAATGTGGAAGGACTGGTTCACTTTCAATTTCTTTTTAAATATTTAAAAGAGATGTGCTGGTTTCATGGCTAAGCCATTCACAGGTGCAAATTCATCTCTGAGTAGTTGAGATGTGGCTTCAGTTAAAAGAACAAGAAGTTTCATGCACTCAGTGTAATGTAGTATTGGAAGTAAGTGACAAGTTCATGGAAAATGACCTTTAACAGGATGTCCAATTCCCATCCATGGAATGTCATTCATCTCCTAGCTTTAGCCTTGACTTAAACTAAGCTGCATCATATTTGAGAGAAAAAAGACATCATTATTTAACTTTCTCTGGACAATAATTGAAATTATTTGTGATAGCTAAATAACTTTAAATTATCTCTGTGAACACTTCCATTTCATGTTAAAAGAAACAAAGCAAGCCTACATTTTCTTCCAGTGAATTGTCAAAACTAAGGAACTACTCTGATTCTGAAATATAGTTTTGCTTTTACCTTTATTAACATATACATACACACCTGCACATGTATGCATGTATACCAGATATCTGTGAGAAAGCTTAGTCATTTAGATTATATTTAATGTAATTTAGATTTTAAGCAATTACCAACACTAACAAGCTAATTAGTTTAGTAAGATGATAAAGGAATTGTTTTGCTTCACTGTGATTTTTTTCAGAAGTATATTTTTCTCAGGGTTATTTTTTCTAATATATAGAATATTTTATTGCTATCTTCATTATATTCAGTGCTTTTATTTTGACTGTATAATCAAAGATCAGAATCATTATTTCAATTTTAATGTTTTTTAAAAGAATGGTAAGATTTACAATATAGAAAAAAATGAAAGTAAATATTTTATTAATGCATTCTTCTGATCATTACAGGTTATTTTCTGATACTTTTAGTTTGCTGTAAAGCATGAAGTCCCATACTGCTTTGCATCTTTATTGCATTTATCTAAGTTGCTATAGTCATCACAACTATTGTTTTGAATGTTAGACTGGTATTCCTTTGTGAAAATAAGCCATAATTTTTAAATGATGTGTAATTAATTGTTAATTACACATTCTCCTATTATTCATTACATTTGATTCAAAGCAAATTTAACTCTCAGGATTGGTATAAGATCTAGATTTGTCTGAAGTTCACATCAAGGCATATAATAAACCATAACAATTTTCTCTCTTTTATCCCTTCTGTCATTTGTTAGATGTGATGATAGAACCCCAAATCAAATAAATTTGTATTTTGCAAGTTATATCAGAATTTACTACAGTTATGCATAAGTTATCATAATTGTGCATGAGTAATGAAGGCATTGAATTGTTAGTAACTGCTCTATAATAGCTAATGAATTCTAACTATAAAATATAGTACCTTGATCTTTAGCCTTTTTCCACCCTGCCCAATCAACATTAATCCATTTCTGCTTCTTCCTCCTTTTACTAATGTGTTAGAATTGTCCTCAGGGAGACTCTCCCCTCCTTCTGCCAGTTGCAAGAACTTCTACATGTGCCCCATCCCCTCCACTCCCTATCCTAAGCTCTCCCTGGTAGGGATGGTGGCTTTCCTGCTTTCAGTGGCCTCTGTACTCCTGACCCTCCCTGCCATCAATATTCACCAAATGTCATGAATCCTACTTTTGTTTTTGTCTGTGATGTTTGCAAAGGTAACTAGGAAGCATAAAGATGTTAAAGATGTTTACTGTCTCATTTTTCTTCCACCAGTGGGATGGAGTAGGACCTCTTCCAGACTGTGCAGAACCACCAAAAGGGATCCAGATGCTGTGGCACCCATCCATAGTCAAACCCTACCTCACACTGCTCTCTGAGTGCTCAAACCCAGACACGCTGGAAGGGGCAGCAGGCGCCCTGCAGAACTTGGCTGCAGGGAGCTGGAAGGTATGGCTAGTTCATTACAATACAAAAGAAATCTGGAATTATGAGCAAGTCTTTAGAAAATAATGCAAGTATAGTTTTGAGAAATGCAGTTATAGTATAGAAAAGATTTTTTAGAACATTAGAGACAAAAACAGTTATATTGGGCTATTAGACTTAGAAAGATGTTCTTTTAAAAATTTCTTCTTTAGGGCTCAAGGGTCCACTATGAATCCAAAGGAGCAGATGTGAGAATAGCCATTGGAAATGCTGGAAAATGCTTGTATTTCCTTTGTGTATAGTGAGCTACTTTGCTTTTTGTTTTTACAGCACTATCACTGACTGTTAGGGGAGATAATCTCCAAATATTTTATATGAAAACACACATGAATGCTTAAAATGTACAAGGTCTCAGCCCCAAAAGAAAACCCTGTGCATGTATAAATTATGGACTTCCAGGAAGAAACAATTATTAATTATTGCTGGCAAAAAACCCATTAAAGCAAATGTATATCTGTAAGGAGATCAGAAGGACCTTTTCCTCCAAGTCCTAATAAACTGACACTGTTCCTGATAAATTTTTCACAGAAAATTATCATGATACTCATTCTGAGTAGAAAGGGGTTTACCTTAGAAAAGAATTCTTGAGTACAATCACTAATAGTTACATGTGCCAATTGTCTTGTCACATAAAAACGTGTGACCACTTTCAGAAGAAAGAACACATATGGGGGAAATGCCAGAGAAAATCACAATGTTTAGACTTTTTGCCATCTTGTGCCATCCATTTACTATGAAGCCTGGGATTTGGACATTCACAAATCATTCTTTTCCTTGCCATTCACTCTCTTAAAATGATGTTAACGTGGCTATAAATAATTTTCAGAAGCTCAAAGCCATAGATGTACACACACATTATAGTGCAACTACACACACTCCCTTCTGCTTACACCTCCCAATGCCTGCCTTCTTTCCTCTCCATACCCTCCATCTTTCCTTTCTTTTGCTGCAGGCTGAGCTTCAGCACTCCCTCCTTCCTCAACTGTGACATCCCAGCTGATGCGTGAGAGGCTCCCCTCTTCTCTTGAGAGTTTTAGGGATAAGCTAATTGGCCCTTTAGCTCCCTGCCCATAAGGCATCCCCAGTGTTTCTACTTAAAGAGTTGAAGTTGGGTTGGACTGCAAGAGAAGATGCTTGTTGCTTTTATCCAGAAACTGTAGAGAAAAGTTTCAAACACAAAGTCACATCAAGCAGGCCAGAGTGTAGCTTTATATGACTAGGAAGGAGAGAGTAACAAAGATAGTTCATCTTTAAACTAATCCCTAGATTTGATGTCCCTCAAAACTTAACCATAGAAAATTTGACTCCAATCATTGTCCAAACCCACCTGTTCTGAGCACCAGGAGCCTGGGCATATTACAGCACCTCTGGTGTCTCACTTGTGCTCTCCTTAAACAGAGAAGACCGTAGCCGCCTCACTCTGCAATGTAAGGATCTATCAGACACTGGATGCAAAGATAGGAATAAGATGTTACAGCCTGAGGCATTGCCACTATGTGGAGCCAAGGATCCCACCCAGCTCTCCTGCCTCATGCATTACCTGGACGGATGTGGGAAGTGGGCTCTGGCTGAACTTGAACAGAGGCACAGAGATCTAGACAGTGTCAAATCAAGTATTGCATCTTTTATCTTTTGTGTGTGGGTGGGGGGACTGGGATGTGAACTCAAGGCTTTGTGCTTGCATAGAAGGGACTGTACTGCTTGAACCATATCTCCAGTCCATTTTTCTCTGCTTACTTTGGAGATGGGGTCTCCTGAACTGTTTGCCTGAACAGGCTTCAAACCACAATCCAGCACCCAGCCTAAGTATGGCATCTTAAGATATGATTTTATTTTTCACCAATTATTTCTTGAAAAATAGGTCATCCTCATGACAATTTAAAAATAGAAAGCTGTCTTTGGATACTAGAAGATTTTTTAATGTAGTATTTTAACTTTTAAACAGTGTATTCCATATATTATGAAGTAGAGAAAGGAAAAATGTGTAGAAGACCCAAAACAAACACCTAAAGTTGAAAATATAAGGCCTAAAACAAATACTATTTTTGATGAACCTAACAGCATATTAAATATTGCAAAAGGAAAAATTAGTGCAGCTAGGTGCATTGCTTCATGCTTGTAATCTCAGCTACTCATGAGGCAGAGACTGGGAGGATCATAGTTTGAGGACAGCCCAGGCAAAGTTAGCAAGACCCAGTCTGAACCAGTAAGCTGGGCATGATGGCACGCACTCTAGCTATATAGGAGAATCATGGTCTGAGGCTTGCTCTGGGGGAGAAACACAAGAACCTACCTAAAAATAACCAAACCAAAGGGATGGAGGTGTGGCTCAAGTTGTAGAGCCCCTCAGCACAAGGCCCTGAGTTCAAATCTAGTACTGCTAAAAAAAATAGTGCACTTAAAGACAGTGAGGAAAATGACCCAAAATGAAACAGAAAGAAAAGAAAATATACAGTGCACCAGTAGTGAACATCAAGTAGCCTGATGTAAGTAGTAAGATCCCGCATAAGAGAAAAGAAAAAGGAGGAAGAGAACAGAGAAAACATTTACAGAATAACTGTTGAAAATTTCCCACACCTAGCGAAAGAATTAAAGCAATTTGAGGAACCCCAAACACAGCAAACATGAACAAAGTGTACAAAGGACATTATAACAGACTGTTCAAAACCAGGAATAAAGAGAAAATCTTAAAAGCAGCCAGAGGAAAAAGACTTGTTATGTACAAAGAACTGCACTACATACAATTCAAAGATCGGCACCAAATTCAAGATCTGCACTTTATCTAAGTGCCAAGTTTAAGATGGGTGTCACCAGTCATCCATTCACTCACACTGCCTTGCTGAGCTAGGGATTGTCCTGTAGAAGGGACATTGGTCTGTAAGCCTCTGAAAAGCCAAAGTCACATCCCACTTCTCTTTGTACGCCCCCTGCTTGACTTGTACTTGGTTAAACAAAAATGTTCAAACACCAAGTCTAAACTCAAGCAGTATCTGTCCATGCATCTTCCTTGCAGATGACAGTCTTCTTTGTTTATAAACATCTGTCAGTCAAAAAGAATTTAGTAGCACGTGTTATGGACCGGGCCATCCTCAGAGGGCCACATTTTATGATCTTTTATCTGGTTCTTTGATTCAGACAGCAATATGCTTTCTATACAGAATAAAATTGGTAGACAGGCATTGTGGGAGAACTAGTTTCTTTTCTGCATCTGAGCTCAGCAGTATTCAACAGGCTGCACTGGTGAATATTCTGTGAAAGTGACCAGGTCCTTGTCAGGGTAGCCAGTCATCTGGGAGAGCTGCAGAGACAGGTCTGAGTGAGAAAATGATAGGGTTTAAATTTTGTTGCTATTTTTAAATTTTCAAATTCTCTCCTACTTTGGATTATATAATGCCAATTATGACCAAAATATGATAATCGTTCTAGTATTTGCTAGCAGTAACATTGTGCTGTTTTCAGTACATAAACCTAGTTTGGCACTGTTATCCCTAGGGTGACCTCTATCCCCATATTTCCAGAGGGCTTACTTGCTAAATTTTTCTATTACCGATAAAATAGAGACTGTTATGAATGAGGCAGAAGATACTTCCAAAGATGTTCTGCATTTTAGAAAAAGTCTAATAACTATGGCCACAGGATGCTCCATTTCATGAGGGATTTCAGGCCACAAGTTAGAAAATGCAAGGAATATCTCTTATAAGGAGGAACACAGATGCACCATAGGAAGTGAGAGTAAATAACCCAGTGGCAAAGAAAAAAGATAGAATAGATAGAAAAAGTAAGTATGAGGATGCAAGATAAAAAGCTCTCAGAGCCAGGCACTGGTGGCTCATGCCTGTAATCCTAGCTACTCAAGAGGCAGCGCTCAGTAGGATGGTGGTTCAAAGCCAGCCCTTGGCAAATAGTTAGTGAAAACCTATTTTGAAAATACCCAATCCCAAAAAGGGCTGACCACAGGGCTCAAGTGGTAGAGTGCCTGCCTAGCCAGCATGAAGCCCTGAGTTCAAACTGCAGTAGATAAATAAATAAATGAACAGCTACCAAGGCCATTCAATGTCTTGGCTGTTCCATATCTTCTAATAACTGATAGTTATAATGCTGACCCTCTCTAGTCAAGGAAATATCAAGTTATTACTAGTAATTTTAGAAGACAGAAAGTATTTTAAAAACATTTCTATCCCAATAGTTAACATAGAATTTTGACACTTACAGTTATTTCTGGGGTTTCAATTATTAAGGAAGCAGCACTTCCGTAATAATTCTAGGCAAATGAAATAATCCTCGGGTAAAGCAAAGGCCATGAGGCCCTTTCTGTCTTATTATAGATGTACACACATAAAAGTATATCACATAAGAGCTTTTTATCCAAATACAAATCACAACATATATAAGAATCAATCACATTATCACCCTGTACTGTGTATTTTATTAGTTTCGTGTATTATTTGGAAAGGAGGTAGACAAGTCTTAGGGAAGATTAGACAAATTTTCAATAAAACAAACACTGTTGAATTATTACAATTTCAAGAAAATTGAGAATAACTTGTACAGAAACCAAACAGAGAAATCCTTACTTTAAGAAGACGATTTCAAAAGAATGTTGAATAATTTAAATGCTGACTTAGGATATACATGGACAGTGTTACCATCTGAAATCTACAGTTCTAAGAATGTGTTTTTATAGCAACTGTCGAGATTTAGTGGTATTCCTTAGCAGTCCTTAACTTTTTATGACCCAACAAAACCAGAAATGTGGAGGTAAAACACCCAAATTTTGCATGGAGAAAGCTTTTTATGTTATGGACCTCATTGTCTGAAACAATAACTTCATTTATGAGAAGAGCATACACTTTTTCTGTGACAAATTGACTAGTGAGACAGATCTTCATAATGGCCTTAAACACTTTTAAACGTTAAAACATTCGTTACTTGCTTTACGAGCATTAGAAAATCATAGCGGTATC